GTAAGCTAATAATTACATATAGAAATAGGTAGAAGTAAGTAAAAGTAGATAAAAGTAAGTTAATTCTATAATATTTAATATAGAAGCTTCCTAGAAACTTCCTAGACGCTGCTTTGACTTCATAGGTGTCTTTAATTGACTTTTTGGATTAGAAACGTGGTCAACAAGTTGGCCATGTGCCACACATGTTATTAGCTTGAAGATCAAACTAACTATCTGACCCACACGTAGAAAAACTTGCCTTGTAAGTCAAGGCATGTGTCCTATAAAGTCAACACATATTGGAGGTCCTATAGAACGTTGCCACGTAGCCTCTAGTTAGATAGTATATATAGAGACAAGAGTGAAGGCTTCTTCACTCTTGTCAACTCCTTTCTTGCTTCTAGTCCAGGTTCAAGAGTCTTTAGTTTCTTGTCTTGTGGCAATAGCCATTCCAGTTTCCTTTTAATATACCTACTTGTTTATATTTTGACTTATTATATCGAGATAGCCTTTTGGTGTATATTTTCCCTCATCGAGTCTTTTTCCTTGACACATTCTTAGAAAGAATCTACAACAGCAAATAACTCTTTATTGTGGATTTTGTAGTTAATTTCTGCTGTTGAATTTTTTTTAGAATGGAATACAATTGGATGAAGTTTGCGATCTTCTCCATATTGTGATAAGACTGCTCCCAATACAAAGTCTGAGGCATCGGTCTCCATAAAATAGGGCTTGTTGAAATCTAAATGTATCAAAATTAGAGCTGTTGTGAAAGCATCTTTTAAGCTTTGAAAAGCTTTCTCTGCTTTGGGACCTAAGTCTAATTTGTCCTTGCATGTCAACCGCGTAAGTGGAGCAACAATCTTGGAATAATTCTTAACAAAAATCATGTAGGAGTTTACAAATCTAAGAAAGTATTGGACATCACATACAGTTTTTGACTTTGCTCAATCAATGATTGCTTATACCTTCTTTGGATCTATAAAAAGGCCTTTGTTGGAAATAATATATCTAAAAAATTCCACTTGCATGGAATATATACTTCTCTAATTTTTCATATAGCCTAGCACTTCATAGTTTTTCCAGTATAAGACAAAGATATTTTTTATGGTCTTCTGGATTCTTGGAAAAGATCAAAATATCATCCAAATACATCACAACAAAGTCATCAAGGTGCTAGTGAAATATGTCATTCATTAAGTGTTGGAATATGCTTGGATCATTGATAAGTACAAAAGGCATGATATTGTATTCAAAATGTCTATATCTGGTACAAAATACTGTCTTCCATTCATCTCCTTCTTTAATGCTTACCAAATTATATGTGCCTTATAAATCAATCTTTATAAAGATCTTTGATTGGCTAAGTTGATTAAGAAGTTTGGATATCAATAGCAATGGATATCGATTCTTTATTGTGATTTTATTAAGATTGCAATAATCAACACACATTCATAAGAATCCATCTTTTTTCTTCACAAATAACATTGGAGCACCAGCTCGTGACTTGGAATATTGAATAAAATTCTTAGCCAAATTTTTCTCAATGTACTCTTTTAAAGTTGCAAGTTCATTTTGGGATAAATTGTAGATGGATCCAAACAATGGTTGAGTACCTTCTTCAAGGTCAATCACACAATCGAAAGGGCAATGCTTTGCCATGTTGTCCACATTTTTCTTTTCAAATACATCTGCAAAATCCTTACACGCCTTTGGAATTGTAGTTGTAGCAACCACACGTTTTGATTGTGGATTTGCATAGACAACAAACGTAGTACCTTGTTTGACTATCTTCACAAATGTTTTAGCTCTAATAAATAATTATTATTTAAGTTTTGGCTTATCAAGATTTAGAAGCTTTTTTATAGATCTGGGGGGTCTATGATCTACTAAAAGAAATTCTAACTTTTGTGATATCCAATCTATGTATGGATTATATTTTTTAAGCCATGAGAGTCCTAAAATGATTGGACTTGATGGTGATCTAATGATGTTGAATTTTACTTAGTTGCTATGGTTGTCAAAGGTTATTTTTAATGGAATCGTTTCATGAGTGTCATCTTTAGAGGATAAAGATCGACCATCTATTACTTCTACATTTATGGCTTTGGATTTTTTGACCTATAGATTTTGTGTGATCTAAAAAATTCTTTGTCAATAAAACATGCAGAGGTTCTCGAGTTAAATAATACATGACAATCTAATTTTGTAACTCCTAACCATATATGTATAGTAAAACAACAAGAAGGACTGGTAGAGAGTACATGACCTTTTTGATTTGTGATAGTGAAGAACCCAGCCACAAGGTTCCTACTATGGCTGGATGCCCTCGTTTTCTTGCAATGCTTTGAATGATGTGGCCACATTCCTCATTTGATATGTACATTGGTGTTTCTCTAAACAATTATTAACTATATGATTAGATTTTTTTGTAATATAAGCATAGGCCAAATTTCCTTCAACACTTTTTTTCTTACTTAGAAAGAAGTTTGAAGCAAACTGTATCAATCTGCATATCTTTTGCTTCCAACTACTCATTAGAGATGGGTGGTGAAGAAGTTGCAAAATAATTGGTGTATATATGTCGCATAATTGAAGAACGTTTATCTTATCATCGTTGAAATAAATGGTTATTGTACTTCACAGCTTAACTAATGGCTTCATAGAATGTTAGACGATCTGACATTGACAAGTATAAGTCCTTGACATTGTCTCTTAATCTCCAATGAAATTGACTCATCAATGTATCTTCTCTCCAATTTATATTACATACTAATTGTTAAAAATCTGAGGCATATGTTGATACAAAGCACGTTTATTGTCAAAGGCTTTGAATTTTAGTCGTTGAAGAATGAATCTTATCATGTTCACCAAATGCTTTTGTAAATGCTACCAAAAATGCTTCAAAATTGTACAATATAGGAGATTTTTTTTCAAATAATGGAGCAAACTTAGATAAAGCTTGAACCGAGAGTAGGGTTCCAACCAAATCAACACAAGATGCTTCAGTGGAATATCATTGAGCTTGAAGTAAGGTGATTAATCAAACTTGGTTTACAAAGTCACAAAATTTTGAGAGGGTACCATTGAACTTTTTCGGAAGGCTAATCCTCAGTTCTTTTGTTCTTATTATTGTCAGATCATTGCCTTGAGTGGGTGCACTTGCCATGTTTGAAGTAGAAATAGTCGTTTGAGAATTTGGAATCTCTATTGCGATTTGATGTGGTGGTTGAGGCACTCCGGCTCTTTGACCATTATATATGGTCATATATAATTCTTCATTGTCTTTTGACAAAGTCTTTGTTGTAATCTTCAATGCTTCAAGAGCATTAATAATAGAATCTAACTTGATGACTTTTGAATCTGTCATATTAACTTTTCCACCTTTTTTCATAGAAAATTAGAAAAATTCATACCTTCAAAAGAAAAAAAAAACTTGATCTATGATGCAAAGAAAAGAAATCAAAAGAATATGAAAAAAATGAACAATATTAATCTAGAAGAGGATAATCTGTAACTTTTAGAATACTATAGTACTTCTAAGGAGAAGGATAATCCATTCTTTATCAAAAAAGATCAAGCTCCTAATATTGTTTTATGGCAATCTCGATAAACTGTTAGGGACCATATATAAGACAAAGTTTCAAGACCAAGGAATGGAATTAATCTTGATATTAGAACAATAATTAGATACAAGGCAAGAAGGTCCTAGCTAGACTATAAGAAGTGAGTTGTTGAAACTAAAGATCCTCTTAGCCTCGACTTCTATATGTACTAGGTCCTAAGAAGCTTCTTAAGAAGTTTTTATGAGGCTTGAGAACAAAGCAAGCCTAAGATCCTTCTTCGGCAACTTCTTAAATCATCTAAAGCCTCCTAGAACCATCTAGAACCTCCTATGACCTTTTAGAACTTTCTTAGAATCTATTAGAATCTTCCAGAACCTTTTGGAACCTCCTAGAACCTGTGAGAGCCTTCTTAGAATCCACTAGTACATTGTGGAACCTTTTGAAACCTTTTGGAATCTTTTAGAATCTTTTAGAATCTTCTAGAATCTTCTTCAATTGTATGTTTGTGACATTTATTGCTATAACATCTTAATTTATTAATCCATAAAATCAAAAATGGCCTCTCAACTTTAACCATGTTTAATATTTATATAATTCATATATAGAAGATGAGGTGTCATGGATATACATATTTATCCTGATAATTATCTAAATAATAAGAATAAGTAGAAATAAATCAAAGTAGATAAATATGATAATATCTTATGAAAAGCTTCCTAAATTATTCATAAATAATGCTTTGCTTTTACACATGTCTTTTGGTGACTGGTAAGTTGAAAACTTTGCCAACAAGGAGGCCATGTGTCGACATGTTGACCACTTATAGTACAAATTGGACATATGGTGCACACCTAGGAAACTTGCCTTGTAAATTAAACATGTGTCTTGCAAATTGGACATGTATTAGAAATTCTATAGTATGTCACCACATAGTTCTTAATTAAATAATATATATAGAAGCAATAGTGAGGTCTTCCTTGCTCTTGTCAACTCCTTTCTTGCTTTTAATCTAATTTCAAGAGTCTTATGTTTTCTAATCTTTGGTAATAACCATTCTAGTTCTTCCTTAAATATACATACTTTCTTCTATTTTATCACTTTCTTTTTGACATAGATTCTACAAGTTTATGTATCTTCTTCCAATTTGTGTCTTTGACATGAGGAACAATAAAACATAAGAATTGGGTAAAAGATTAAGTTTCAAAAATATAAGAACCATATACACTTTCTACATAAATCTTTAATTCCAACTATAATCAAATAATAAGAAGAAAAAAAATTAATTAAATCTTCATAAAACTGCATGTTATTAAACAATGGACTTGTGTTATTTCTAAACCCACTTTTTGTACAAGTTCATCAAAAAAATCTTTCAAAATCCATCATTTGCTCACAGTGGGTTGGACACCTGGACAACGACTAATTTGACTAACTTGATTATGTCAAATGGAGTCGTCAGAAAAGAATGCAAACTTGCGGAGCTCAACTAAAATCATCGAAATGAGCAGAATCAAGCATGAGTAGTGGTGGATTAATCTACACAAACCAGTTCACTCAGCCTGAAAACCCATCGCATTGAGTGAAGAAAACATACTCTGGATCCAAATACCCAAGAGTTCCCCTCACCATGGTAGTAACATGCGTTTTCATTAGATTGTCTTGGTCGCTGCCCAACTTTGACAGGCCAAAATCAGCGACCTTGGCAACCATGCTCTTCGTGAGAAGAATATTTTGACTCTTGATGTCCCTATGGATGATTCTAGAACTGCAGCCGGTGTGCAAATATTCAAGCCCTGATACAAAAACGCATCGTTTTAGTCGGTATGGTAGGTCCACGTGCTTAGACCTCAGCCCCAACACGATTTGTCCACACTTAATTTCCACATGCAAAGTGACAAACTGCGAATATTATAGCAATTCCAAACTGTTGGACACCCGCTCACAGGGTCTTGTGTCAAGCTCAGTATCAAACAGATGCAGCAATATCGATCATACCGCAAGCAGAGTGTAGTGCAATGTTGAGACGCTGCTTCCATTCAAGGGGCTTTCCTCCCACTGCATTTCATTGCATGCCACAGATCAATCAATGCGCCCAAGTTCAACCGCAACGACGCTCCTGCTCACACATGTTCTGTGTCTATCCCTGAAGCTGATGGTCCACAAGGCTTTGACTCTATTTGTTTCCAAGAGAAGAGTTTCTAACCTTGAAGATGGTCCCATATGCTCCCTTCTTCAGCAAATTCGTATATTAGAACCTGTCTCTTCTCATCGCAAAAGCCTAGGAGCCTCACCAGATTCACATGGTTCACTCTTTTGAGAAGATTTACCTGTTACAACGTTACCGAATTACAAACTCAAATGAGATCCAGCAGATAATGAACAATACACCTCAAGGCTTAAACAACAATGAGGGACAGAGAAATCTGAATCCAAAACTGAGACAATGCTTTCCAAATACCTCATTAAGAAATTCATTTGTTCCTTGCTGAGAAGACGCATCAAGGACTTTCACCGCCACCTCTCTTCCATCTTGCAACTTCCCCAGGAACACAGCACCAAAACCACCCTTTCCAAGTCGCTTGGATTCCCAATTATCCGTCATAGCTAGAACTTCATCCCAATGATAATTCTTAACAGGATCTTCAAAAATTGAGTCAATTGACCTGACTTGTGGCCACGAGGCACTACGAGCATTCACTGGTATCGCCTGTGGACTATCAGCAGTCGTCGCAGATCTATGTAACCTGGGCGAACCACGACCCTTAAGTTCCATGTCTCCTGAGGTTTGCTCTGATCCATCGCCTCGAAGCGTCCCAGAGAATTCCTCAGAGCTTATGTCTGAGGTCGAACTTGATCTATAAGATGTTGAACGTTCATAAGCTTCGTGATGCCCACTCTCTGAGGCGTTGCTCGACTTACAGGCCGGGACCAATTCGGCAGAGTCACGCCGCATACTCCCTGAGGCGCTGCCTGATCCATAATGTGTGGGTGATATTTCAGAAACTTCGTATGGCCTGTATGCTTGTAGTGGCTCTGAGAATTCATGTGCGCTGCCCTCTAAATCGTTATGAGATCCCTGTGATGGTGGTGGATCAGACAGTCCCTGGAATTTGCCTTCAACGACGATGCTCGATTCCTATGATGTTAGTGACTCCGAAGCCTCATGTGGCTTGCTTCCAAGCGTCTGGCTGAGTCTGTCAGGTCGTTTGTTATAAAAAGGGGTCAATGAATTGCTCTTTAATTCGTCGCTTGAGCTTTGCGCTGGTAATCTTTCAGGGAGACCTTGTAAACTCCTTTCCATATAGTTGCTTGCGTCATATAATTGTGGTCGAGGAACTTCCTGAGCAGCGCTTCTTGAACCGGTCCTTGCTGGATATGCATGTGGGAGTTCAGAAAATTCCTGTGGCCTGCTCTTGAAGACTTTATTTAATCCAAATATCGCTTGTGATGAATCTGAAACTTCATCTGGCAGGTTCAATTCAATGTTTCTTGATCCATATACTACTGGAGGTTCTAAAATTTCCCGTGACTTACTTTCACTTGTATTGTCCACTCCATATGACTGTGGTGGTTTGAAGTGATCATGCGATCTGGTCTCCATACCCTGAAGAAGGAAGCAGAGCAAAGTGAGCACCTAAAGTGAGATATATTGAACATTTGAAAACGAAATCTACAAGCATAAAGCTTCCCAATCCTCTTCTGAAAGAAAAAACATACAAGATTGCATAGGACCAGGGTGGAAATGAAGCATTGAACTATTTAAGATAATGAACAATTAATTCCTCAAAACTTCGGAAAGAATGCTGGAAGATGAGTTTTTAACAATTCTAGGGGAATATATAAAGAAAAAAAGAACTGCGAATGTTCAGTTGGTCCCAAAATAAGATATGTGCTAGAAATATTCTTAGTATGGGATCTTTTCAATTATAATCCTATAATAGAAATTCAGGAACTAAGGAATATTTGAAGAAATACATGTATATGTTAACTTGCGACATTCACAGGAGTAAATAGATATACACACAAAGAATTAGAAATATAAGCGCTCCAATAACCTGAGAGGAAACACTAAGGACAAGGTTGCTTTGTTCCAGAGAATTAGGAAATTTGGAACCAATTAGGAAGTTTTTCGCTCCTTCTCCTGTCCCAGCTGCAGATGTAGGTTGCGTGATGGTATTATCTGCAACAATACTCTGTTCTTTTAAGTTTTCCACTTCAGAGACATCATGCTCTTGGTTTTCTTGTGGAAAGAGAATCTTCAAATCATTAAGCAGTTCTAAGATTTGCTCCAATCCTCGCTCGTTACTAAAAACATCATCCAGAGCCGGTGCCGTTTCCATTTTCAGATCATGTAGGACTTGTGCTTCTTTCATCAGCATTCCTGCAGTATCAAACTTGAATAACCCAGCAAGTCTTTCGAGTTGATTTTTTGAGCGTTCATGTGACCCTTCCAAAGCTGAAATTAATTCAACATTCAACTCCGTATCAGAAGGATCTTCCACCACTTTTGACCTTTTGAATTGATTTTGTACCATTTGAACCTGGAACATTTCAAAGATGAAAATGGTGTTTACGGATACTTTAGTAGAAACTTTGCCATCTTACGACATGCTAGAACACACTCCTCTTTACAGCAAATAAGGATAATTAATAAAATTTCAGATGTATAAATAAAAATAAATGCTCGAATGCACTGAATTAACTAGCTGTCGGAATCAACCTGCTCCTTGACTTCTTTAGCAATATCAAGAGAGTCCAATGCTGGCAACATTTGTAAAGCAAGTGACATTTCTGTGTTCAGCACCAAGAACTTATCTGCCACTTTTTGTAGCTCTAAGATCTGGAAAACAAAGTGGTTAGTAGGTTCAGCTAACTATATTACTAGCAAACCCAGGTCCATGAAGAAGAATATGACTGTATTTCCATGTCGTAAAATCCGCAAATGACTACCAATTAAAAGACAATTTTGCAGCGAACTAGAAAACAAAGGAAAAGCAAATTTCTTTAATAGTTTGCAAGACACAAAGATGGGTCTAAGCCAAAAGGAAAAACATGGATAATTGAGAAAACCTTGGGATTGAGTGTTTTCATTAATTAAGCTTCAAAAGTGAGACAAAAACTCACCAGATAAAGTTTACTTCCGTCATGGCACAGGAGAAGCAAAGATTTGGCTTTGTTTAATTCTGTGTCCAAAAAGTTAAAGCATCCAAAGACTTCTTCAGACAGAGACAATCCATTGTCCTTGAATTCGTCGAAGAGTAGAGCAAGGGCCTTTACACGTCTTATGAGAGTATAACACTCCTTTTTATGAGCTTTGAAATCTTTAATTGAAGTTACAACAGTGACAGTATCAATTATCTTCTCCAATAGAGAGACTTGCGATCTGCTCTCCTTGGTGTGGCTCAATTCCGATTCTTGTGGTGGTGCAGCAATTTCCTGAAGCTCACATTCTAGTGAGTTGCTAGATCCTTGTAATTCAGCCATCTCAGGAAATTCCTGTGTCCTCTCCATCGGGATGCTTAATCCAGATGATTCTGGTAGTTCAGGAAATTCCCGTGACACGCCCTCAACTGCGTCGACTGTTTTAAGCGCATCTCTTAGTTCAGAAAATCCTTGTGATCTTTCCTCAGCAATGATTGAGCCATATACTTGAGGTGGATCACAAAATTCTTCTGACATGATCTCCAAAGCAATGCATGATTCAAATACTTCCGGTGGATCAAACGATTTCATTGACTTGTCTTCTACGATATTGCTTGAGCCATATGCATGTGATACACAAAATTCTTGCGACCTATTCTCCTTGGCACTAACAATACCCTCAACTGGAGCTGCGGCCCCTACACTTCTCTCGTCGACGGAACGAGCACTCTGTTTAAGCACATATTTCGAATAAGCCCAACAACAATTTCTACAGATCGGCTGCATTACCTACGCTACGTCAATGACAAGCTGACCAAATATGCAATAAAAGACGTTCAAAGACATTTGGCACTGCAAATGGCGACGAATTACAAGTGGTGTTGTACCTCTGAATTTTCTTCTTGACTTTCCTCAAAGCTATGATGTTCTAGATCCAGTCCTAGTTCTTGAAAATATTCACCTGGCTCACCAAACTCATCAACTGCTTGAGCTACATTAGTGAATCCCTCTGAACTGTTCTCCAGAATGTTGCTTGGTTCATCTGGTCGTGATGATTCCGAAATAATCTGTGACCTGCTCTTTATGGTGGCGCTTGATTCATTTGTCTGAACTTGTTCAGTAAATTCCTGTGACAAGCTCTTCGTGGTGATTCTTGATTCATCTGATTGCGGGGATTCAGAAGCTTCATGCGAACTATCCTTTGCGGTGATACTTAACTCGCCCGCTTGTAGGTGTTTAGACAGCTCCTCTGACCTGATCTCCTGGGGGGGATGATACACCTAGAAGAAAAAGAAGAATTAGAAGACATATCATCAACAAACTCAATGCAGTGAAGACCTACAAGATGGATCTTTGATGTTGATATTTCAAACCTGGATTGGAAGCCTTCGACAGTGCTCATTGTCGTGATTCACCTCACTGTTGGCAATATCAACCTCCTCCTGCATGTGGAATTATACACAGAACCACAAGCAAAAACAGCGGCTTTGCACTTGAGTAAAATCGTATTAACTGCACCTTGTTTTCACTTAGTTGCCATTCAAAGTCCAAAAATAAAACAAAAAAACACCTGTAGCAAAATATTTAACAACAATTAGCAAGAGTAATGTTTAGATAGGTTTACGTAGATCTTTACATCAATAAGACAGGGCTTTTACATGTCTGTAAATCTTACGATACAAAGCTCCACCTTTTGTCCACCGGTTGTCTTATCTTTTACTGTAGCCGTTAAGATACCACATGCATCGATGTCAAAACGCACGAGGATCTGAGGTACACCATATGGGGCAGGGAGGATCCCAGACAACTCAAATGTGGCAATCAATATGTTGTAACGTGTTCGAGTACTTTCACCTTCATAAACTTGGATGCATATGCTGTCCTGGTCATCATGAACTGTTGTAAAAAGTTGCTCACTGCTCTTGGGAATGCTGGTATTTCGAGGATGCATCACATGCATCACACTTCCGACTGTCTCCAACCCCAAGGAAAATGGAGTGACATCGACCACAAGATAGTCCGAAAATGCTCTAAAACAATAGGAAATTCCACATCGAGCAGCAGCCCCAATAACAACACCTTCATCAGGATTGGTGAACTTGTTCAATTTTGTTTCGTCATTAAAGAATTCAGCCAACATTGATCGCAATTTCGGAATATGGCTGGAGCCACCAATCAACAGAACCTCATTAACATCGGCTTTGTCCACTTGCGCATATTGTAGACAATCTTCTACACACTTAATGCATTTTTTGAAGAGATCCATATTCATCTCCTCGAAGCAGGCACGTGAGATACTAGAGTGGAAATCAAAATCTTCAAGCAAAGAATCGATCTGAATGGTGGTCTCCATCTCGGAGGAAAGAGCTATTTTGACCCGCTTTGCTTCATTTTTCAATCTCCTCACAACACGTGGATGACTTGTGATGTCTCTCTCGTGCTTTTGCTCGATTTCATGAATAAAATGATAAATCAGCCTCAAGTCAAAATCCTCTCCTCCCAATTGGCCGTCTCCGCTTGTTGCCTTAACTTCAATAACCCCCTCTTCGATGTTGACCAAAGTGACGTCCAACGAACCACCTCCAAGATCGAAAACCACTATCTTCTTCTCACCAACTGATTGGAGACCGTTTTCCAACGTGTAAGCAAGAGCGGCACAAATTGATTCACTGACAAGAGTCACGGTTTCTAAACCAGCTACGCTACAGGCATACCGGATAGCTTGTCTCTGTGCAGAGTTGAAGCAATATGGAACGCTGACAGAAGCTCTATCCACAACAGACCCCAAATACACCTCTACCAGATCTTTCATCTTCCCCAAGACCATGGAGTACACTTCGTCTGCAGAAAAAACCTTCTCTTTTCCCTTGTACTCAACATGTATCATGGGCTTGTCATCCAGACCACAAGCCACTCTATATGGCCACTGGATGCGCATTTCATCAGAACTCATGCCTAATTCGCTGAATTTTCTCTCAACTAACCTCTTAGCATCTGCAGCACACAATTGCGGTTACATTTTGATTGAAATATGATTCATTTTCGTTCAAACTTCGGACGAAATCAAAGGCTTCAACCTCAAAACATGTGTTGTTCAATGCACCTATTTCAAGATTACAGCTGAAAACGAATTTCAGTTACTCTGAGTTTTGGCTCATGTCTAGAGTAATGATCACAACCAACCAGTGACCAGAAACTTACCAAACACTGTATGTGCAGGGTTTTTCGACACTTGATCCTTGGCAGCATCTCCAATGAGACGCTCTGTTTCGGTGAACGCGACATAGCTGGGCGTGGACCGTTTGCCATGGTCATTGGAAATGACTTCGAAACGATGTTCCTCATCCAGCCAGATCCCAACACGACTGTTAGAGGTTCCTAAATCTATGCCGATAGCTGCTCTTATACGCTTCGATTCAGCCATCGCATGGGCAGGCTCTAAGCGGGCTGTCGAACACTTTTGGCCAGGACCAGAAGAAATGCAGTGAAAGCTATGTTTCTTCCCTCAGTTCACATAAAGTAACTCGTCACCTTCACCAAAAATCCTTGCTGGAATCCCCGGTTAAACTCTGGAAGCATCTCGCGATAATTTAGCTACTCCTGGACACCAAAGAACACATCCACTCCCAGACTTAGTGATTAAAAAGACAAACTTAAACCCTGCAAAGTATCTCCCAGCAATTGTCACATTCTTTCGAATTTTATGGCACTAGAAAAAAGAGGAATTGGTACTAGAAAATGGTGTTTGACTACCTACCTTCCGAAAAAACCTGTCACAGCTCCCATCCACCCTTCAGCGTACCGACTCCCATATTGTAAAACAATCATGAACATCTACTAATTCAGGGTATCGGGGCTAATTTGGAGACGGATCTTCCCATCAACGATCTGATCCAGCTTGCCCGCTTCCTTATACTTCATCGTCCACTCACCCAAATTAATCAGCTCATGTGGGAGTTCAGGGTTGATTGCACACAGCATTTCCATGAGGACTATACCAAAGGAATACACGTCTGACTTCTGCGTCACCTGTTGCCTGCGAAAGTACTCGGGATCCAAGTAGCCAAAACTACCCTTCACAGTCATGCATTCACCAATTTACCAATATGGGATATTGACATGAGAAGTTGACATTTCACATTCCACAGTTTAACACATACTTCATCAAACTCCGTAAACTCAGGTTGTCCAGGACCCACAAGCTGTTGCAAACGTGCAGAGGCAGGAGAGTCGAATACCGACTCGCCACCGAGTTAGGTCAGCAAGGTAAAACATCTAGAGATGAGTGCAGAGGTCGAGGAGCAGCACAGCGAGTGGAAGCGGAGGGGGGGGGAAGTCGCGACCAAACCCTGAGATCGTTGGCGTTGCATGTGGTAGATGCTGCAACCCAGACTGTGCGCGACTGTGTCTGGAGTGCAGAGGCTGGACCAGCTCGACGCCGGAAAGTCGAGATGCAACTTTTGCCGAATCATGGAACGAGCGCTTCCGATGGATGGAGGGAGTGGATGCGAACATCCACCATGGGGAGCAAGTGATAGGAGCTGCTTCCAATCAGCCCTACCCTGGTTTGGCTTAGCCCCAGCGGGTTGCCGTCTGTCGTGTTGTCTCATTTAGAATTGTTTTATTGATCGGAGCAGAACTAAATAAAAGAAACAAAGACCACAACGAATGTTTCAACTGTTGAACACACTAAGTAGAGATTCCCTCATCAATCTACGCCAAAAAAAACTCACCAAAATTCCAAATTGAGAAACATGGATGTATAGAACAAAAAGAAAAAAGAAAATACTGGATTGAAGCCAATATTACTGAGAACAAAAAGCCAATGGTTGTTACAAATACTAACATCCTAACAAACCACTCATCAAAAATCCAAACCAAACAAGATAAAGTAGAGGATAAGAAAACTACTATCCTAATAGAAACCATTATATCTTGAGAGTAAACTGCAATCAGCAACGCAAGAAAAAATATTTCTTGAAACAAGACAATCAAGATGGACCATCACAATGTGGTTTTAAAGAAGGATGTTTCTTTCCTCTTTCCTCCAATCTCTTCAAAGTAGAGTTAATCACCACTTTAAACAACACAAACCTTAAGAAAATAGCGATTCTATACTGTCAAAATGTTACACTCAATCTAAATATATCTAGAAGAGCAGTACACCTCAGGCAAGCCCGTTGCAACAGATCGTCCAACCCATATATCATGATACAAGTTGAAGTCCCAATTATCCAAATAGTTGTCTAACGTGCTTCCTCCAATGCGAACCTGCCCAGAGTGACACCGCTGTGGCGATTGAATGAACTCAAGGGGTCGAGACCCCACTCTGGAAATACCACATCCTCATCGCAAGAGGCGACAAGGAGGCCTCCGACGCCCTTAACGACACTGGCAAATTGTCGCTTCCTGTCCCAAAGCTATTATCCGGCACCGAAACGAGTCGACATCTCCTCGTTCAGCTCATGCAACGACAAGGTTATTTCAAAGCTGTGCGGGATCATTCAATCGCCATCACTGTGTCAGTGAGGTGGGGTGGGGCCTAGCGTTGCATGATGCACCGCACTCAGCCTCCACAATTCATCTCTCCGGAGTGAACAGCCTGCCATATGTCAGCATTTGATAAGACTACGACACTTATCGAACTACGATGCATATCTAATTTGCAGCTCATACTGTTTCGGACAATTTTGCTTACGTTCTTGAGAATCACTATTCGGTAGAATTCATAGAAAGAAATATAGTAACAATTTGTTTCTGCATACCTTCTAAGTTCTCAAATAGTTCGTGAGCTCCTCTAATAAGAACATACTTTTGGTGGGGTCTCAGGTTAGGTTCTGAGCAGATTTGACGCTCATAGCTCCGCATGCGTTCTTGGGCGACTACATTGACTTTCAGGGTTTTCCAGCACACATCCAGGTTGAAACCATTCTGAATGTGATCCAGAAGCGCCTGCAACCACAGTGGTTGGTGACCATCTTGTCATTAGAATCAGAATATCACTTGGATATTGTAATAACTTGAGCTCTCTTCCATGGGAAAATTGCGGGAAGGCATAATTAATTTCCTTTCCGTAAGGTAGAATGTAAATCTACTACGTTGAAAGTGAACACAAGATAAATTGCATATCTTGACCTAGCACAAGAATTACTCTTAATAAACAAGGGCCATCCTTGCGGCTCTCTGCGTAAATGAGAACTTAAAAGAGATGAATATGTCACCTACTCAGACCAAGCGTGCAACGTAGTAACAAATTCGACAGTTGCGGGAGACTATTATTAGCTGGAAAATGATCACAACACACGGGCTGGTGTTCTTGTGAAGCTTCTGGTGCTACTCTTCGATCATACATCCCGCATCATCGTCATTGCACTGCAGGTTAACACCAAACCAGCAAAATCTTTAAGATTCTCAGCAGAAAAATGCAAGATCAGTGGTTGTCAATGATATCATCATTCTTCTGTTTTACTGAAACTCTAATTCTTCGAGTCCAAATCTATCATATTCTTGAATTCATATCAGGTCATTCTCCCTTGCTCCGGACTGCGGGTAAAAAACTCTCACCTGAACAACAAGAATTTCATCACGGATACGTTGACCCACACCACCTTGTCCTCCACGACCTCCAGTACCTATAATAAGACGGACCATCTGTGTTCTCAGGCTATTTAGAGTATATCTCTCGAAGCAGGTTGGTAAGTTTGTCTTGAGCTGAGCTGATTTCTCGGCACCAATATATTTCTTTGTAAATAACATGCACGTTTGGAAGTAGAGATGAAGTTTGGAATGCCCACTAGATAAAAGACGATCAACTTCGGCTACAGGAAATGAACCCACATCCCAAGAACAAGAATTTGAGATATAAATATAAAACTAAAAAAGATAATTATTTCACCCTGTCCGCCCAACCACTATCGGTTTGAGGAAAATGTAGCCGGAGGCAAATCCCTTCTTTCCCTCTTTCCCTCTTTTCCTCTTTTAATCAACTAACCTGAGTTTGTTGTAATTTTGTTTCAAGGTAACTGGCTGGTGGCCATGGACCGCAACCAGACCGAAATTCCAGCCAGAGCAAGCCCTCCTTGCACCTTGGCCTGTTCAGTCAACCCCGTAGCAAAATTGTATCTGCACACCACCACAAAAATTGAAACTACATGACCATTTATTTTTGTGAGAAATTAGACATATAAATTCAGCCAATACAAATGTTGACGATATAAAAAAGAATTAACATGCCACTAAGAACCTGACTCTCTGCTAAGATCCAGAACGTGCACAAATAAACAACTTTGGGAAGATATCATGAAAACATATTTAATTTAAATGAAATGCAAGGGTACAACGTTTCTGATCAACCACCAACACCCGGACGTTACACCCTGCTCCACAAAGAGATGTGGCTATTTTAAAACCTAACTTGATACTATCAAAGCATCGCTAAATCATGTGCAACGTTTTCTATGAACACAGCCCACACATGGTACAAACGAAGGGGATCATTTCAATGATCAGAAGAGATACAAAGCCAATAAGTCTGCTTGTAAGGAGAGAAAAACCAAAAAATACTTCCCGACTCTTTTAACTCCAGATGACACCTTCCAAGTCAGCAAATAAGCAAATAGACACTCGGACAATCCCAATCTGGATGGTCATAAGTTAGAGCCTCATATCGGTATATTAATTATCCTTTGAATCAAGACTTAAAATGGCAGTGAGCCATACCTTCCACAAGGATTGCTAAGCTGTGAGGATTACGCCTAGCCGATTTCTCCTCAGAAGTCTCCTTCAGTATTCTTCATTCTAACGATACCCTCGATGAATCGTCGAAAAGCTTCAGCACATCAATTCGCATGGACACTATCTGACGATGGTTGTCGGCGTCGGTGCCCAAAATTCCTTGTTCAAAGCTTAAAATAGTAACCTACGATTATGTTGCTTCGTTTAGCCGCACGCAGTCCTCCAAGGTCGAGATGGCTTCAACCATGCCAGGTCTTACATCCCCCTGCTCTTCCAAACACTGATCTGATCAACTTGCCAGCTTTCTTTAACTGCATCGCCCAGTCACCCAAGTTGACCTGCGCACGTGGAAGTGCAGAGTCGATTGCACAGCACTTCCTTGAGGACTACACCGAAGGAGTACATGTCAGACTTTTGCGTCAACTGTTGACTGTGGAGGTATCCGGGCTCCAAGTAGCCGAAACGACCCTTCACAGTGGTGCACACGAAAGTTTGCTCCATGACAGGTTCAACCATCGCCAATCCAAAGTCAGCAACCTTAGCAACAGGATTCTCGTCAAGCAGGATGTTGCTTGTCTTGACGCCCCTGTGAATGATACCCTGGCCGGTTCCGGTGTGAAGGGAATGCAAGCCCGTGTCGCACCAGTTCAGATCTCCAGTCGCTGCTTCCGTAAAGGTGGCTTATAAGAGGTCAATTGGCCATGTAATCATACACCAAGATAGTCTCACTACCCTCCCCGCAATACCCGATCAGCGAAACAAGGGGGGCGACGTCGAAGCTTTGACATAGTCGCAATCTCGGTTTCGAACTCATGCACACCTTGCTCGGATTGACGGTGTCCCTGTTTCACCGCCACCTGCGACCCATCTTCCAACTTGCCATGGTAGACATCGCCAAAGCCTCCTCTTCCTATCACTATTTTGAAGTACTCCTTTGCAGCAGCTATCTCCGCAAGTGAGAATTCTCTTGCACCTGGCAGTCGTGGAATGAAAAATACATCCTTGATCAGGTTGAATATTTTGCACATTCTATCATCCAATTGTCCGTGGCTATATGCATCCAGGCCAAACTTTTCTGGATAAGGAATCAATGAAATTCAAGATGACCTCCAGGCTTGGCAGCATTCACGCAGTTATCAATCCGAGGTACCTGACTGAATTCTGCTTTGAACACCACTGTCCCTTCAAGCCCGCTAGAGTTTCCTTGCTCAGGGCTTGGAACATCAACATACCCCTGAGATACTTCATGTAGGTGCAAGCAGTACTCCAAGTTTGACAGGACCTCAACCATGCTAGGTCTATTAACACCCTGCTTTTCCACACACTTCAAAGCAGTGTCGACAAACTTATTCAGGGTATCGGGGCTGATTTGGTGTCGGATCTTCTCATCAACGATCTGATCCAGCTTGCCAGCTTTTTTTAACAACATCGCCCACTCACCCAAGTTTACTTGCTCACGTGGAAGTGCAGGGTGGATTGCCCGGCGCGCACACAGCACTTCCATGAGGACTACACCGAAGGAGTACATGTCAGACTTCTGCGTCAAATGTCCACTGAACAAGTACTCGGGATCCAAGGCGTCGCTGCCAATACTCCTAACAGCCGTGGTCACATAAGTTTGCCCCATGGCAGGTCCAGTCTTCGCTATTCCAAAGCCACCAACCTTAGCAACAAGATTCTCGTCAAGCAGGATGTGCCTTGACTGGACGCCCCTGTGAATGATACCCTGGTCGGTTCCGGTGTGAAGGTAATGCAAGCCCCGTGCCGCACCAATGCAGATCTCCAGTCGCTGCTTCCACGCCAAAGGGGCCCTGTTTGTTCCGTAAAGGTGGTCCACAAGAGGTCCATTGGCCATGTAATCATACACCAAGATAGTCTCACCACCCTCCTCGCAATACCCGATCAGTGAAACAAGGTGGCGATGTCGAAGCTTTGACAAAATAGCAATCTCGGTTTCGAAAAAATTTATACGTTGCGGAGTTTGACGCTTTCCTCGTTTCACCGCCACCGGCGACCCATCTTCCAACTTGCCAAAGTAGACATCGCCAGTGAATCCTCTCCCTATAATTCTTTTGAATTGCTCCGTTGCAGCAGCTATCTCCGCAAGTGAGTAGTCTCTTAGATCTGATGGTTGGAAATGAATGAGAACCTCTGTGGAGATTTCGTATTCTGGATTTTTGATCAATCAACCGTCGTTTGTTTTGGATTTGCATGCCAAACCTTTTTGAACAACGAATGAAATGAGAACTACCTCCAAGCCTAACTAATGTGAACAATGAATAAATAAAACTGCAGCGTACCTGCAGACCGAGCAACATTCTCGACTTTACTCAAATTGGGTCGAGACTTGACAGTTTGACATTTCACATTCCGCAATTCAACACATATTTCATCAAATCGAGGCCGTGCACTAGCATCTTGGCTCCAACACCTCCTTATCAATCGCTCCAATGAAGTTGGACAATCTTTTGGTAGCCCAGGACGATCACCCTTCAATACCTTCTTCTTCACCTCATTATGTTGTGCTATGTCATAAAAGGGCACATCTCCAGTCAAAATCTCATAACACACCATTGCGAAACTATACACGTCACCACCAAAAGGATACTTTGCTGTCATACCGACATTTGTCACTTCTTCTTGCCCTCCATTTACACTTTCTTTTATCATCTCAGGAGGCATCCATCGTGTTGTCCCCGTATTCAGAGTCTGGTTGCTGTAAGTTACACTCCTTTCTTTCGTCTTTGACAACCCAAAGTCTGCCACCTTTGCCCATATATACCAACTTCTACCGTCTTTTCCTTTCACCTGTTTCACAAGGATGTTCATCGCCTTCAAATCTCGGTGAACAATCCTCATTTCGTGCAAGTACTCCATGCCTCTTCCAACTTGAAGCATGAGGTCAACTGCTTCCAACATGCTAAATGGACAACTGCGACTCTCGTCCTCTGCCATGATCTTCCGCATTAACCCGCAAAGGTCACCATCCATCAACTCCATTACCATGCAGCTCTCCCGCTTACCTTCTGCATAACAAAGCAAGGACACGATATTGGGATGAGACAGCCGTGCTAGGATTGATACTTCCTTCTCAAAATCTGGGGAACTTGGTGCATAGAACGTCTTCTTGGCAACCTCAACTCCTAGCCACATTGCTTTGAACACAGTAGCAAAGGAACCTTTTCCCAACTGCTCCATCTCTTTCAAACTCTCCATGTCCACGCAATATGCCCCTGATGAACTGCCTCCCAAGTTCTGCCTTTGGGGATCAAGCCTCTCCAGTAGAAGAGAAGCCAGCCGGTACGTTTCTGTGCTCACATTTTCTCTTCTCTGGAGCAATGCATTCAAATCCCCTACCAACGACTCTCTATCATGTGATGCCTTCTCGTTGACAATTGCAACTTCAGCTTTGAAAATGCTCTCAAGTACTTCCGTCGATCTCAAGCTTCCAGAAAAGAAATGTGCTAACATCTCCAAGTCAAAACTTGTTGACAGAATATGCTCCGGCACATTTGTCATCAGAAAGGCGGCTTGAATCCATTCCTCTTGGCAACAACTTCGGATGACCTTCACTGCCATGTAAGCTAAAGCATAAAACAGCTTGAAAACATCGATATACTTTGCCTTGTCCTCAAGGGAAAGAAACCTTCTGTGGAGGAACGACTGTGCACTCTCGACAGCAGACTTCAGCTTATCAGCTAGATGTTTGCACAGTTCAGAGTTGACTTTAGGTGGGCTGGAAAACGCACTTGGCGTAGTCATCTTTTGAGCTCGTTCCCTGCATTCTTTGGTGAGCTTCAGGAACTGCTCGAGAGTGTTGGCTGCATAAAGAGCACAATCAACACGTCATTCGGCACATTGTACCAGCGTTAGGTCTTCCGATCTTGTAAATACACACAGAAAAAAGGAAATTATAACTTGAGTTCGTACTCAGTAAAGGAAAAGAGAACTGAATATGAAATTGAACGTCACGACATTTGTACACATAGTGTGAGTGCAAGCACGCAACACGGATGCTCAAACTACACCTAGCTGCACGGATCCTTCACTAAATGAGCGGAACTTACCATATTCCGCAGTAAACTTCAGATTGGACGTACTCTTGTACAAAGACTTTGTCATCTTGCAAGCACCCAATACTCATGGAAACCTACTTGGAACTAGGCAGGGCCATGCTCCGCTCTTATAAAAATGTGAACATTCAATGTATTACCTGCACCTTGATTCTTTAAGCTGCTTTCAATAACAATATACCCTAGGAACGAAAAGACGCAGAGTTTCCTATGCACTTGAATTCGACTTACATCGTAATCTGGAGGTAGATTTTGAGGTGAGGGACACTCTTTGACTGTGCTATGTGCTTCATTACCAATTACATACCATCTAACTTCACAGGCCTTGAACGACGAAGAATAGATACTCTCTATTTGCAAGAATGACCTTATTATTCGCTATTCTCACTAGCAAACTCCGCAACCCACGCTGTCCAGGACCGACAAGCTGTTGCGATCGTGCAGAGGCGTATACCGACTCGCCACTGAGTTCGGTCGGAAAGGTAAAACATCTGGAGGAGAGTGCAGAGGCCGAGGAGCAGCACATCGAGTGGAAGCCGGGAGAGAGTCGCGACCAAACCCTGAGATCGTTGGCGCTGCAAAGTGGCAGATGCTGCAAAACACAGAGTGTGCGCGATTGTGTCCGGAGTGCAGAGGCTGGATCAGCTCGACGCGGTCAAAGTTGAGATGTTTATTGTGCAGTGGCGTAGACCAAGCACGACGGCAGAACATCCCCCGGAATGGCTGAACTGCCGATGGATGAAGGAAGTGGATGCGAACATCCATCAGGGGGAGCAGGTGATGGGAGCTTCTCCCTGTCAGCCGTGCCCAGGTTTGGCCTGCCCCCACCGGGTTGCCCTCTGTCGAATTGTCCCATTTAGAACATATTTTGTACAATGGCAGATTTGTCTTGTTTGAGTTGGAAGGCTAGTTTCATATTCAATCACAAACTTTGAGATTTTTATTTACAAATGAATTTATAGAACTCCAATAGATGAAGATTGATATATATATATATATATATATATTTATGTAGGTTTTTGATGAAAATATTTTTTACTTTGTAGAGCCATAAATAGGACAAGATAAGATAAAATACATATAAAATTAGTATCATTATTCTAAGATAAAATTAAAGTGGCCAACATGTGCTTATATACTTCTATCAAGTTTCATCTATTTTATTTCTATTTATATAGCTAATGTATGTATTTGTTACATTATCTTCATCTCCTTTTTTTGACAATAAGTTCTATGAAGAGGAGTTGAATTGTTTCATAAGTTGATGAAGCTGAAAATCTATTGAATGGTATTAGCAACAAGCTTTAATGTTATAACCCTAAACCTAAACAAGTTTAGTAGCCTCTTTTAGACATCTATATATAATACTTATGAATCTTGGTGATGCTCAAACTTTTGACTTCTTAAATAAGTTATCCTTGGTCTTAAACATATTTACTTAACTTTTTTATTTTTACCTCTTATCTTTGAACTATTATAACTTATTCATATTAACTCAGATATACATATTTGTTACATCTTAAGAAGGATAAAAATTATCTATCCAAAAAGACATATTTTAATTTGTACTTTATTTTTTACTTAATGATATTTCACTAAAAATACTACAACTAGTTTTAGGAGTGTGTGATTGTTTTATTGAACTTCTTTCACTTATTTTATGTTTTTTTACTATTATTTCTTTTAACAGTATATTTAAATTTCCATCACCAATTAAAAGCAATTCTTAAGTAAGTCTATCTTATAATTTAGGTTGAAAACAAATATTATTTTTACACCTTTATATATTTTACAACAAACATAGTATTGTTATATTTATAAAAATTCATCTCTTTTAAATAAAGATAGAAATGTGGAAAACAAGTTCAAAAGGTGACTACATTAAGTTTTGAATCAATCTAAATTCAACTCTTAAATATGCAAAATCTTGCTAATAAGTTGAAGTTAGTTGGTGAGAGTGCATAATTGATCTTCCACAAAAAGGTTTCTTTTTCTAAAAGACATGGCAAAATAT